AGAGAGAGAGAGAGATATCCTTTTGAAATTTAATCAAGTCAGCATCCAATGCTTATTCTATTTATACTTCCCGATCTCTTTTTCTTGTTTTGGGGCCAGAGTGCTTTGAGAGGTATTTGCTTTTGCTCCGTATGATATGGTTATGCTAAATACATGAAGACACAGTTATTGTTATTATTACTGCTTTTACTGTGGTACAGAATGAGTGAAGACAGGGTGCCTTGAGACTTGACTATAAATATTATTTTTCACTTTTCAGAATTTCGCTCTACTACTTAGACATTAGACATTTTTTTTGGTGGATAGTTTTGTGTTAAATCATTTTGTAGCTTTTCACTCACTTTCTAAATCATGATTGAAATTACTCATATTTTTTAATTGTGCATTACTCAACGCCAAAAGACATTATGCTCCTGTGAGTATACCATCCATTTACTCCCTTGGGTAAAACCTCATATGGATATGACCTCTTCAACCCACAAACTAATCTCAATAAAACAAATTTCTTAATTTCACCATTTATATACTTAAAAATAGTCACAAGGTTGAATAAAGAACACCTCTTCAACCCACAAACTAATCTCAATAAAACAAATTTCTTAATTTCACCATTTATATACTTAAAAATAGTCACAAGGTTGAATAAAGACCATCTAATTTTTAGATGATGAAATATAGGTATTAAAAAATGCAAGATTCAAAGTTTTCTTTTTTTTGAGAATAATCATGATTATTAGGGGTTCCCAAATTTCCAGATTGAAAAGTTCTCCCAAATAGGTCTCTGACTGAGGGAGCAGATGTACACTTTGCTCCCTCCCACAGGAGCATAGTATTCCTGCTCTTACTTAAATTTATTTATCTTGTAATCTTTATTCGCATAGTTCATTCTTTTGCTGGTTGTTCGCTTTGATATAAGAGTTATTTTGATTCTTTTGTTGGATAACTGACTATTTATCAAGCTATCTTTTGGATCAAGATAACTGACTATTTACCAAATATACAAGTTTTTTCCTAATTTTTTTTATAGTGAGATTAATTGAGCCTTTTAACATATGATTTAGAGAGATGAGATTACCTAGATTACTTTCATTTTTTGTTCATTTTCTTTTTTCCATTGGGTTTTTTTTCCCGTACACTAACTTACTTCTATTATCTTATTTTAAGAGCTGACCCCAAATAGTTGAGATAATGCTGGAATGATGATGATGATTATCTGATTTTAAGACATAGGAATATAAACATGCGAGATCTTAGGGACGGAGAGAGAGATGCACGGGTAAAAATTATTACCCATGTGTTTTAGGTTTTATGACAAAACATCCAGGTGGATTATCTCTCTCCTAAATAAAAAGTTAAATGTGTAAATATCTTAAATTTAGTTTGTGTAAATTAAAAGAAAGGGTGTACTATCCTAGAAGGTTGTTCCAAAAGAAATGGGTTGACAAAAATAAAAAAAGCATCTTGAAAAGCTGTAATTGTTGGACTACTAAATGCTTCTTTTCTTAGGATGTACAGCTTAGGTCTTAAAGTCTCTAACTCTTGACATATCTGAAGAGATCTTTTAAATAGAAACCATGTCTACCTATGAAACCATTAAAAGCAATTAATTAACTTGATTTGAGATCTGCATACAGATCTTCTCGTCTTCTCTTCTCACCATTTTTCCATCTTTACACGAAATAATGGTATTCTCCATGATATTCTATCTTTTCATTGTTTTTAATATTTATTGTAGTTATTTTTATATTAATTATTTGATTGTTTTAACCTGTACAGCTTAAGTCTTACAGTCTCTAATTCTTGACATATCTGAAGAGATCTTTTAAATAGAAACCATGTCAACCTATGAAACCATTAAAAATGATTAACTTGAATACTTGATTTTTAGATCTGCATACAGATCTTCTAATCTTCTCATCTTTGCACAAAATAAATGGTATCTCCATGATATTCTATCTTTTCTTTTTTTTTTAATATTTCTTGTAGTTATTTTTATATTAGTTTATTTTTTTTGAGAATCTTAACCTGTACAGCTCAGGTCTTACAGTCTCTAATTCTTGACATATCCAAAGAGATCTTTTGAATAGAAACCATGTCTACCTTTGAAACCATTAAAAATAATTAACTTGATTTTGAGATCTGCATACAGACCTGATATTCCCTTCTCGCCAATGTTGTCAGATTCGCTTCGGAGTCTGCTTCAGTTTGGTCGGAAAAATGAAGCAATTCAGCGCTTCGACTGATTTGGGGGAAGACTTCGGTTTTTTTTTTTAATCTAAATTAAAAATATTTTTTATAATTTTATACAAATTTAAAATAAAAAATTAGAAATTTAATAATAAATTAATTAACTACTACTTATATATTCAAACCAGTTAACTTTTAAGAGAGAGAATAAATAAATTACTCACTACTTATCTATTAAAACTAGTTAACTTTTGAGAGAGAATAAAAAGCAACTGGTTAATGGTAAAATAAAAAGTAAGACTTAGTAAAAAACGCGACAGTCAAAGCAAGCTCCTTAGTTTTGACTTTTAAGAGAGAGTGAGAAAACATTTCTTTTATCATTGGAAACATCGTGCAATATAAAGTTTATTATGGACTGATTTTTTTTTAATGCCATGGTATATATTACATATTATCATATTTGCCCTTCGTTCTCTTTGGCCGAAGCATCATTTTTGGGCCGAACCGACCCTAATTTGGCTGATGCAACCGTAGTGGGTCGAATCCAGCGGAAGCAGTTGATTTTTTCTTCGTTTCACTTCGGTTCAGAGTGAATAACCGAAGGCTTCGCCTCTTTGGCCGAAGCAAAGCGAATTTAACATCATTGCTTCTCTCTATTTTTCCATCTTTGCACGAAATAATGGTATTCTCCATGATATTCTATCTTTTCATTTTTTTAATATTTCTTGTAGTTATTTTTATATTAGTTGTTTGTTTGTATTTTTTGAGAATCTTAACCTGGGGTGAATGGGATTGGAACTCTTGATACCACATTGTAGCTTCACCTACATTGACCACCGTGCCAAGAGCACCGATCCCATATAAATTCTCGTTTACATCTTTTATTATTTCATTCCATTTTTTCGTAGTAAATTTTTGCTGACTGCCATCTCAATCATTCTATTTGTTCTTTATGACAATCTTTTGGTTTTCAAGTATTTTTCTATTTTCTTAAGTGGTTTACTTTTTCCTTGGCCAAGTCAACCAAGCTTTTTAGATTTAATTATGTTGTTTTATGATTAACAAACTATTAGCTATTTTCCTTCTCTGTTAGATCTTTAGTGTTCACTGAAAATTTCGTATCTTCACTCTTAGGATTGAAATTGTCCAGAAGGTATGCTTTCCATTTCTTTGTAATTCATTACCTTATATGTTTTATTGTTGAAGATTTCCAAATGTTGATTTTATTGTTGTAAATAAAGGTGTAGGCCCTTCATCATACTTCATGATTTATGCATTTTCTGCAGTTTAAACAAAAGAAGGAAAATAAAATATACCCCATGCCTGTCTCGCTAGAAAACATTGAACAAAGAATAGAAAAGGGTAAAATGGTAAGCTAGGAATTTCACAATACCATTTCGATGATTGTAAATTCACTTAATGAATGACAAAAATGACCCTGGCTTCTCAGCAGAATTTATTACACATTATAGCCTTCACACGTGACAATGAAATCCGAAACCCATTTCTATGAATGCAAGCCCAGAATTTAACCCCCACAGAAAACTAAAGAATTCAAGTTTGTTGTTCACTGTAATTTCAAAAAAAAGAAAAAAAAGGCTCTAGGTTTTGAAGAGAAGTTAATTATGCCCTAAAACTTGAAGAAAACTAGAATGTCTCACAAATTTATAGTAAAATAACTATATAAGAAAGATGTGTTGTAAGATGGAAACTCTATCAGCTAGTTCAGGGAAGCTTTTCTATCTTTTGTTCTTTTTAATGTTGAGCATGTGTATATGCATGCATATGTAAGTGTTTTTGGTTCCACCCAACCATCTATCTCAATAATATGTATGGTGGATGCTTTACCGGTTGATAGTGTACCATAAATTGGCTGTGTGTGGTTTTTATTTTCTCCCCTAGTATTTTTGCAATATATAATTCAGAACAAAACGGATTGGATTTATTTCTTTTTGTTACTCTTTTTGTTGTTGAGCATGTGCTTGCATGCGCTCATATATGTGTGCGTGTTGTTCATCCCAACCATCCATTACAGTAATATGGACGGTGGATGCTTGCCAGTGTGTTGCGTACCATAAATGGGCCTTGTATGAAGCCTTTTTCCTTTTTAGTTTTTGCGAGCATATTGACTTGTGTAATTTAGAAAATAAATATGATTTTATATCTTTGTCTTTTTTGTTGCTGTTGAGCATTGGTGTATACACACGTATGTGTGTGGGTTCATCCCAACTATCCATCTTGATAATATGGGCAGTGGTTGCTCCGCGTGCATATATTGTGCCATGCACAGGTTGTGTATGGTTCATCTTTGCTCTCGTCAGTCTGTTGACACCATTTATTTGGCAGTTCCAACAGTTGAGAGGTGGTGTGGATATGGACCCTTCGCGTGGTGCTCAAGTGAGCCGCGACCCTAGAAGAGCAGCCCGATACCGGCCGTACTAAGGTGGAATTTCTACTTCTCTTTGGGACATGTACATTGCTCGATTCCTGTAAAATGAAGAGCTGGCTCATCAGATAGTGTACCATTAGTGTTTGAAGGCTTAAACAAAGTAAGTCTTTTTCATCAATATTTGGATCTGCATCACATCTGCGTAGTGAATTTTCTATTGTTATTCTTGAAAAGTTGGTATTTTTCTTTTTGACTGTAGTAAAGAAACTAAATTAGAAGATGGAATTTTCTGGACCTCAAGAGTGTTCTTGAACGCATGTTTATCAGGTATGATAGACTAGAGCTGGTTCCATGTACATTGCCTATGGGCTTTGTTTCAGTAAAAAATGTTCTTTTGTTTGTTAATTTTATTTGGTTCTCTTACATTGTCAAAAAATATATATATATATTTGGTGGTCTCTTAAACATTTTAAATATGTGGGCTTGGCCCTTGTGCCTTGTGTTAGCTGAATGTTGAGCAAATTTGAGACAAACGACCAATAAATTTAAATTTTTTACTATGCAAATGTAAATTGTGATATATTTGGTTGGGAAATTCATCAAACCTGACCTTCAAGATTCACTTTTTAACATTTTACTCTTTCCCTTTGTTCTACTTTCAAAAGGTCATCTAAGGTAGGTAATCATATGGCTTTACATATTGGAGGCAATTTTCAATTCATCCCTGCCAAACCAAAATAGTTTTTAGAATAACCCATGTGAATATTGGTATCCGAAAATACTAGTACCTTGTTAATTTAGGTGAAATTTATCGAAATAGGAGATGAATTATTTAACATTTTAACTAATATCTTTTGATTTAATCTCAAAATGCCCCTATCAAAGGACCACATGGTCATGAGTTGGAATGGTTGTGAATGAGTAAAATGTTGGATAATGGATTTCTAAATGGTATTTTCACAAATTTCCAATAGTGAGATACGTAGTACTTGCAAATATCAATATCTCCATCCTGAGCGAGATATTGGTAATGAAAATGGCAGTATTTTGTTTTCCTTCATTGAAAAATCTATTTTAAAGCACATTATTGCTATTGTTAGTTGATGACCTTATGAAGTTAGGGAAAATAGTCAGAATTGTTTATAATGTGACCATTTACTTTTTATACAAGAAGACACAATTACTTACAACTATACATTATGAAATTTTATAGCTTAGGTGTTTCACAAAGTTCAAGAAAATTTATTTTGAAGTTTGAGCTTTGGTCAATAGAATAAATACATCCATCTAATTTTACATCTATGGTCAAGATTAATTGTAAGCACTCGTAGGTTTGGTGGGGTCTGATTTTTTTGAAGCTACTACGCAATGCTTATGGGTGGAAATGAACAATGTTTTCATCTATAGGTTCATTAGTCTGATTTTTTCGAACAGTGAGGATTAAATACTGTCATGTATGTGGCGGTTAAACCGTCGTGGATATAGCAAGTATGTGGCAGTCAAAAAACACGTGGAACCCACATTGACTATACACTGTTTTTTGTTGTGGCTTTGTTCAAGGGGCGAAAAACTGTAGCAATTCGCCTATAGGCCTTTTTAAGACTTTTTCCTTATTCATATACATCTATGTATATTAATAATATTTCAAATGTTAAATAGTGCGTTTCTTGTGGACGGTGTGATAAATCTCGCTTCTATTTTTGGCCATGTATCTAAAATGGCGGCTGGAAAAGAATTTTGTTTTACAAGGGATTTATTTCTTTGTATGTTCCACAGTACCATAAAAAGGACCAAGCCCAACCCTATTCCCCCAAGTAAAATTAAGAAAAATTCAAGGGAAAAAAGATAAAGAAATAGGATTGGCCAGCTGCCTTGGCTGGCCCAGGCCGGGCCCTCAAGATACACTTTGTCGCTCAGGCTCTAGTTTTACGGGGCTTGGCTACCCAGCCTATTGCCACCTCTAGAGGCAATGTACCATGGGCACTCGTTTCATTTTAATGGAGATGGATGCAGTTTTTATGCTGGTGGGCAGCATATGTTCTCTGCATCTCACACTGTCCAACTAAGTTGGGTGGTGGAGATTGTATAGAGCAAGTGGTTGGTGTTTTATGCATGGCACCCCGCATAAAACAATTTAACTATTGTAATAATATTGTACATAAAAAAAAATTATATAACGTTGCAACCTTGTTAGGGTGTACTTAAACAATGATGAAAAAGAGCGTCTTGGAGTTGGAAAACTTCTAATTGATTCTGTTTACAAAATGTATGGATATAGAGGGGAAAAAAAGAATTTCAAGTCTTAAAAAAACTGCATCTTATGACAAGTTATTTAGACTGTATATTTTTTAAATTTTTTAGTGTTTATAGATATGTTCTATTTGTATTATATTTAAAAGTTAAAATTTAAAATTTCAGAAAGAGAGTTGAATACGAATTTTCAAGCCATCATAAAGTTTCAAATATTAAAACTACATCTTCTGACAAAATGTTGATGTACTTTACTTGTATAGTAGAAGGTGGGTTCTTTACATACCTCACCCTTAAGGCCAACTCTTAATATTTCCCCCCAAAAAAAAAAACATTTTCAAGAACATGTCTGTGCGTTTGTGTGCGAGAGAGAGGATGACAATACGAATTGGGATTTTGGGAAAAGGAAAGGCCAGATTATCGGTGGTTTTGAACCTTGGTGGTTGTTTAGGTTGATAATGTAGCATGTTAAATGCTTCCCACTAAGTGTGCCATGAATGCCTATTAAGACTCCCTGAATGAGACAACCACAATTCTTTAAAAAAAAAATACATTTTTTGTTAAGAGTCCTTCCCATGCTTCTCTTCTGGAAATGGTTTTTGGATCTGAATCGCATTTTAAATAGCTGCAAATCCACATTTGTATCAAATCTAGTGCTCTAAATTAGATGTTATCTTTGAAGAATTGAACTCGACAGCTCAAAAAATAATATTGGTTTGATGATCCTTGAAGAATTGAGAACAGCCCAAAAAATGATACAAGTCTGATGGTCTCTGAAGAATTGAAATGAATGGTCCAGAAATTGGGTACAAAATAATCTATTGTTTAGAACCTTCGCTCTATACAAACTGCACATTTTTTGGAAAAAGTTTATATAGAGCCGAGGCTCTAAACAATCAAATTAGAGCCCACCTCAAAAAATCCACTAAAAGAGGTTGTTTTGATGCCCAAATATCCTCAAATTGATCATCTCGACATCAAGATGTATGGACATGAGAAAAAAATGGATTTCGAGTTTTGGAAATAGTGCATCTTGGAACGCATTTTTGGATCATCAATCTTCAAGATTTTTAAGTTTTCATAAATCTGCTTGATCTACACTATTTTTTTAAACTTTAAATTTTATAATTAAAGATGAAATATATTTTAAAGCTACTTGAAGGTGCGATTTACTTTGATTCTATGTTTATAGACTTAGCCGAGGCCACTCAGAATCAGCTGAGTAACTTAGCCTCGCCCTAATGACTAGGCGAGTTTCTGCCAATGCAATGTACACCAAGGTTTTATAGGTTATATATTATATATGTCTGTTTCTAATCAAAACTAGCACAATTGCATTTTGAATGCTACTCGCGAATATTGAATCTTACGACACCACCCAACTGGTAATGTGAAATGTAGACGAATATATATATATGTATGACAGAATTTAGGCGAGTTACTCGGACTCGCCTGAGTAAATTGCCTCAGCTAGAGCCCAAGTACTTTGGCCGAGTCGAGTTTTTTAATCTTGTTTTGATTGTTTAGAGCCTCAGTTCTATACGAACCGGTACTTTTTTTTTTGCCTTTCTCTTTTTTTCTCCCTATTCACGATTATAAGTTGGACGCCCAAGAAGAGGTGCAATGGAGGGCACATCTAAGCCCTACATTTCTTGAAACATTCGAAAATCTCAATACTACCACATGTACGTAAGGATATTTTCATCACCAGCAAAATATATATAGGAAAGTTTATATAAGGGTGAGGCCCTAACCTATCAAATCAAGGCGCACCTCAAAAATTCACTAGAAGATGTTGTTTTGATGCTCAAAAATCCTCAAATCGATTATATCGGCCTCAAGATGCATGGACATGAAAAAAATGGATTCCAACGCTTAGAAATAATGCATCTTATAATGCATTTTTGGACTATCAATTTTCAAGATTTTCAAGTATTCATAAATCGTTTCAATCTACACTAACTTTGAAATATTAAATTTTATAATTAGATATAAAAATAAAATTTCAGGCCATCACAAAAAATTTCAGTATTGAAATAATATATTTTGACATTATTTGAAGATGCATTTTACTTTGATTGTTTAGAGCCTTAGTCTTCTACAAACGACACCCAAAAAAAAAAAAAAAAAAGAATGGATATCCATAAGATGCTTACAAATATCTCCTCTCCAAATGATTTTATGATGTAGTCCTCTAACAATCAAGGAATGCCTCTTGGGAACATGGTTTTAGCCATGATAAAAATTTGCATTTATTATGGAAGTATTTTGCACCACCAAAGGATTCCCAACAAAAAAGGCTTCTATAAGACAGGGTTGGCAAATAGTGCTTGACCCTCATTCTAAAGAATCAACATAATAATCACTGCCTTAAAAAAAAAACAGTTTTAGGCTACTTTGATACTTTACAATGAGCAATTCATAAATAATAGTTCCGGACCACTTTGATTCCTTACAATAAGCACTCCAGTATCCAGATAGTTCTGAACGAGGGGTATTTCAGTTAAAAAAAGAAAAAGAAAATAAAAAAAAAAAAGAAAAAAAAAAAACAACACACAAAGACATGGGCGAAAATGTAAAATGTCGAAGACATTTTCTAAAAGGTGCAGTTGGCATATGGATGCATCCATAGCTGTAGAGGTAAGATGCGCCTTCAAATTTTATCATGGTATATAATTTTGATGTAAAATGTTCTCAAGATTATCTCAAAATCTATTTTTATATCTAATTATAAAGTTTTAAATTTAAAAAATGGTTAAAATGAAACAGATCTATAAACATATGAAAATCTTGAAAATAGATGGTGTAGATAATATGTTGTAAAATGCAGTATTTCTATGACTTAAAATCTTTTTATTTTTCATGGTCATACATCTCGATGTCAAGATGATCAATCAAAAGGTTTTTCGACATTAAAACTACCTTTTCCAATGGATTTTTGAGGTGCATCCGTAGCCCTACATTATATGGTTGCAACCTTATATAAACTTTTTCCTTTCTTAAATATTACTAATTGTAAGGGTACAATTATAAGGGATTAGCATAAATTTTCCAAAGAAAAAATAATCAGACCATTTAATGCAAACATACAAGGAATATCTCAATAGCTGGAGCAGATCATTGTTCTCAAAATTTTCATCACAGAATGGCTACGGCAGCCAACACCACTAATAGAAGCAGAGCCGGAGCTCACCACCTAACACCCGTTGATGAAAGTGTGTTCTATACAGGTCCCAGAATTCCCCACTGTAAAAATGTAGTGTTTCAATTTAGCATCTCACATTGTAAAATGATGAGACCCCTTTTCCCTCTTTTATTGGATAAAAATTAGAACGGGCCCATACACATGCAAATGAATGGAAGTACGGAGTCCTGCAGAAAAGTGGGAAAAAAGAATTAATGACAGGAAGTTCGAACCTGACTTGAGGAAGACTAAATAATGAATAGCCCTTGGCGTCGAGGTGTGTATCAAGCATAAGAACTGATAACCGGGTAAGCCCCAACGCATCGATGTCTATCAATTTCTTGATCCTGCAAACACATAGAGCAAACGGTGAGAAAAGGAATTACCTGACAGACAAAAAACCACAGCTTGCTGGCATAGGAAGAATTGCTTTCCAGATCAAATCAGTAGTTAGCTGAGAAAGAGCATGGATTTTTAGGTAGATCTAGCATTTGCTTCTGAATGCGAATTCTTATATAGGAGATGAAATGAATTGATGAAGTGTGGAGGAAGTTCGCAGATGTTCAGACCTTGAAGGTGATTTCTCTCATCAGAAGAGACTGATGTAGGTGAATGTGCAACAATTTCTAGGAAATAATTGTTGGGCTTAAGAGATCTTTTTTGGCTACGGTCACCGGACAAAACCGGGAAAGTTGGTTTTGGCATTATAGAGCTAACAAAAAATTTGTCTCAAAGGGGATCATAGTAGTCACTTTGACATTGGAGCAAATAGTTATGGCTTACAAAGTTAGGAGCATCATATTAGGGTTTTTTAGGATGACTTTGTTTATTTTATTTTGCCAAGGACAAATGATTATTAAATGATTAAATTTTATTTGGAGTACTTGTCCTCCTTAATTAAGGACTAAAGCTATAAATAGGGTTACTACAGGGTTTTGATTTAGACATGGTTGAACCAGAGTTGGCCATGCAGCTTGATGTGTAAGTTTCCCCTTTCAAGTTCCAAACAAATTTTTGGATTTTCTTAGTCTTCTTATCATTTTATTTGATCTTGTTTGAATTTGCATCAAGGTTATGCCCACCAATGCTTGCTCTCATGTTTGTACAGACGCATGCATCACCTAAAGGATGGGCGTACCGAAAAAGGTCGCAAGTGATATTTTCCAGGGTTCCAAGCTTGCACTTTCAACAATTCAAATTTTCTTATCTTTATCTCCTATACCATGATGAAATGAATACATTCGGAAGAATTTAAATATGGCTCCAATAGGCAATAAGATGAAAGAAAGTAGACTTAGGTAGGCTAGCCGTGTGCAGCACAGACCCAATATAGCACTTGTTATGAGGTGTGAGTTGGTTCAAGTGAAAGGCTAAAAAGGACATAGTTGGAAGTAGTGACGGACTTATGGCCTCATTGAAGGTATGGCCCTTGATAGAGCAGAACAGCAGACCAGGATTTGTATAGTCGACCCCAAATAGTTGGGAAAATGTTGTGATGATGATGATGATCTCCTATACCATGATGTTCAATTCACCTTTTAGTGAGACTCTATTACTCGGACCATGTTTACCAACAATTTTAAGGTTAAAACTTTTAACATGAGAAATATCTTCAAAATGAAAAACAAATAAGCTTTTTATTGGTATTCAGAATTGCAATAATAATAAATGGACAAAACATATTCATTGCTGAGAGACCTTGTAAAGTAGTGAAATTGGATGGAGCAGGCCTCCATTTTAGCGAACGGAAGTTTGATTTACCATGAATGCAGTCCCAGCTCTTAACGATTCTATCCTTGAAGGACAATACACTTCATAAGTTAACATTCATAGGGATTGATCTGTACATGCTATGCATTCATGTTAAGGGTACTTTTGGCCTTCTTCGTTACACAAATGTAGTAAAATAAAGTATTTAAACAAATTATGGGCAAATAAAACCAGTAATATGAGATAAAACTTAGATCGTATTATGGGACATCACAGCTGCTTATTTAAACAATGTACCTCAAAAATTGTGACAAATGCAAATACCTGCTAGGAGTACCACTGGCAATATTTACACGTTTCTTTAGCAAGGAAACCTAAAATGAGAAAAAATTCTCCAATTAGTTTTGAACTTGACATCAACGAAAAAATTTCTAAAAAGGAAAAACCTCAACAGACCTAACTATTTTCAATTATACATCTCTAATATTAAATACATTGTCCTAAGATATTTGATCCTTTTCATGATATCCAAACGAGTAAATAAATAGAAGTCCACCATACTGAACAGAAATAGCCTTAGAATACAATAACAAGAGTTTAAGAAGTAAAACAAACAATGTAAAAGAAAGTCCCCAATAATTTACATACAGACTCGTGTCGATCGCGTTGACAAAACAAGTCACCACATTGACTCTTTCAAATTGATAAAAAATCAGACGAATCTTTAGTACTTTGAGTCCAGTTTTAAACAAAATTGCCTAGTAAGATACAGTTTCTACCAGTAGGGTGATTACATCCAAAATGACATATCATAGAACCATGCTAAATAGAAACTTCAGTTGGCCGATATAAAAGGAAAAGAAGCCATCAATACGAAAGAATAAATAAACAAAAGAATGAGAATGTGACTATACTATTGCTGTTGGAAGGAAAATAAGTTTATATAATTGCAGTTGGACCAATAGAAACATGAATTTCAATGTCCAAACCTGATCTTCCACTTTTATATGCTTGGCGAAGAGCTTTGCTGCGGGACATTCTTCAGTCAATGGTCGTACACCTCTACCAGAGAAATAATAAATGTTCAGATTGTCTGCTATTGAGTTAGCACTTAGCAATGAAGAAACACAAAAATTACAACTACGATAAATAAAGGGAAATTGATCAATGAGGATCCTTTAAATGAAAATCCACACATATATCTACGGATTGCTTACTATGTTATCTTTCCATACATAACTTGGAGGTAAGTTCTAATTGTTTCAAATGGCATTATTAATCTACACACCCAATTGCTCCTATGATTTTCTTATTTTTGCATCTGGTTTGAGCAAAGGGCAAGCTTTCTATGCTTCCCCTACAGCATAGAAGTTCTATCTTCCCTTTTATCCAACCATCCATGCCGAATGGAGGGTTAAGATTGCCCCAATCACAATGTCACGTCTCTACACTATTTTATTTTTAATTTTTTTTCTATAAACCATTTTGACACCAAATTTTGGACGTTCATTCCTCTATGAAACTCGCACTAGCGAAAAATATAAAAACAATATTTTCAATAAAATAAAACGACCAAAATACCCCTGAAAGCTTCAAGGGGTATTTTGGTCGTCGAAAATTTATTTTAATATTTTTTATAAGTGTGCCCTAATGAGAAGATGGCACGTACCAAATTTCATATTCATACAATTTGTATAAAAAACTAAAAATAAAATACTTTGAGACATCGGATCTAAGATCAAACGGTAAGTGGCTCTCTTGATCAAAATTGGACGGCTGGATGGTAGGGGGAGGATAGAACTTCTATGCTGTAGGGGAAGCATAGAAACCTTTCCCTTGAGCAAATCATCAAAATCTATTGAAGTGGGGGTTCTTGCAAGGGAGATGCTTCTCAGCTACTCGGCCATTTCCAGATTGTGGTTCCAATGAAGCAGAAGCCTGGTTGCTATTACAAGGTTTAAGAGTTGTAAATAAAAATTGGATATGGCTGGTCAATGAGGGAGACTCTAGCAATATCATGGCATGCAGTGACAAGGAATCATGCCCTTGGCACCTAAAAAACACGTTCCATGAAATCTGGGAGGGCATTTGTAGTTTAGAGGTACAATTCCAATCGCTCTTATAGTACGACTAATGATGAGGCCCATGCACTGGCTAGGTATAGCGTCCCTGGCATTTCAAAGATTTCTTAAGTTGTGATGAAATTTTGACTTATAAAGTTTTTGTAGAGTCCAGTGTACATAGGTTCAATTTTGTAAATGGAAAGGAAAGCACGTTCTTGTAAATGGATTTTATTTAACAAAATCAAAGTTACTGATTAAAAAAAAAAGGTCAAGTTATTAATCAAATATCACAGCCATGGAGCATCATAATTCTTGATGGACAAATTTAACTTGACTCCATATCATCTTTATGAGTTTAAGGAGGGATTACGAGATTATGAAGTGTATTTTAAATTCAATTATTCATTTAATCATATATTTCCCCAAGGGATACTTGCACTTCTATCGTTATTTTTACCTGAGTTGCAGCCAGAAGGCATTACTGCTGTCGCTAATGTGTATTATTTATCCTGACCCTAAGATCAGCATATTTCTCTGCTATTGGACAGCTAACATAATCCAATCCAGACTATGGCACAAACTCATTTTCCCATACGTTGTAGAAAGCATAAGATTCACTTGTTGAGAAAGAACAATTGCATGTCAGGCAGAATAAATAGCATTGCTTCAGAACTTGCCGAGTCGTTGAGAACAAAGACTTAATTCTACACCACTATGTTAAAACGTTACCATCCATTGTAGCAAGTTACAATCAATCATATGTCACACGGGAGAAATCCATCCATATTTTAAATGCAGCCATCCTTAGATTAAGACCAGAAGTTACTGATATCTACAGGACTTACGAATTGGGATGTATAGTCAGGAGTTTAAGGAATATATTCTAGAAGACAAAGTTCCAAAATGAATATATTTTTGAGACATGAAGCAAACCAAATAGTACTAAATGTATTGAAACCTCCTATCACAGGCATGCATCTCAATGGCACTAAATTTAACATAAAAATTAAGTAGTGATCATACTAGAATAGACCTAGTGACAAACCTTCCTTGTCCTAGTAAGCAAAGCAGTATAGTATTTTGTTTGTTGTAAACTAGCGTTGTTCCAGGTATGGAATTGCCCTACCTAAGCAATTGAAAATTTCATCTGATGATATAGTTCCCAAATAGAGCAGGGAACCACCAGTGGCCAAAGAATTAGCAAATGAATGCAGCAGAATATATGTTATGCATTACTCATTTTCATTATCACTTAGAAGGTCAAATGTTACAAGGGTAAGGAGACTAGATAATCCTCAAACAAAGTAAAGAAACAGAATGGCATGAAAACTTCATTAGATGGACAGTTGGACACTAGCAGCATAACCGTGTGTACATTACTAATATATCCATATCATTAAAAAAGGTTAACTTTATTTTTCCTGATCGGCTAAATTTTTGACAGTGCTCAACCTTAAGGTTCTCTGTTTCAGTTCCTAAACTCATCTATATTAGTGCCCCCAGAACTTCAAGAAGAATCCGTCTGCTTGCAACGTATAATCACACAAAAATCCTATAGAAAAATAAGCTAAAGCAGTAGAAACCTGAGAAGCTCCAGGGATCTCAGAGCAGATGCACTGATCATGAGTAAGGCAGGACACCCAGCATCAGCCCTTCCTTCGAGGAGATCTCCGCCATGCAGCACATCTTTCCATGAAGTTCCAAAAATAGCCTTAACATGTTTGCTTAAATTGTCGACAGACCTATCAAGATTCTGAGGAAGCTCCACAATGGCCGCATCTGGACATGAAAATGCCAATCTTGTATCAGAGAGTTGCTCATCAAATGAAGAAGACAAAGTTTATATGAGATGTATCATGTTGGCTTTGAGCTTGATGACTCTCCTGTAACCAAGATGGTTGGTTCAAATGAAAGCATATCCACCACCTCAAGGGAATTAGTGAGGATCACATTAACTTTATAATCAGATGAAGAAGATGGATCCAAGGAAGTTACAAAATAAGCCCAGATAAAGAAATCCACACTATTGTAAGTATTAAACTCTTATCCAAAAACCCCATGAGAAGAAATCATCTATAAGAATACTGAAATAGCTTGTTGTGCTCTTGGTGTGGCCCCTAGCTTTTATAAGCACTTGATCAGTGTATGAGTCTGTAGATCTTGAAAGACAAGGTTGTGCAAGTATTTAAAAACTATACAAAAAGATGAGTTAGTACCTGAGCTCCACCAATATCATTAGAACCCATTATGGATTATGAACAAGGAACCGATTAAGTCCACATTACAATAAAAAACCCAACTCAGGGTTTTCATTGAGCTTTTTATCAATTTTCAAATGGTGCTAGTGGACATGGGAGCAAACTAGTAGTACATTGTATTCTCTAGCATTATCTGCAAGCACATCAATAGCACTAAGTCCTAGCTCAAAATCAATGAACCGCATCAAATCTCAATGCATGCATCTCTGCTTCCAATACCAAAGTTTGGAACTAAATTAAACACAAAATACATTCAATTTCGATAAAAAATGCTCGTCTCGATGAAATTCTATTGTGTTATGCAATTATTCTGTTTTATTTCCATATGTCACAGTGGTTTCATTGAATTGCATTGTTTGTTGACCACAAACTGGGAAGCGGAGTCTTTAAGCTAAAAAATCGAACAGTTTTGCAACAGAAGAATGTACAATTGAAATCATATCTTCTTGTATCGAACCTCAATATTTGAACATCAAAAATAAAAACAATCAATCAATCAATTTATGGTCCCAAAAGAACTACAAAGAAATCGAAGACGATACAGATACAATTACTACCTGTGATTCCCTCCAACTCAATGGATGAGAGCTTGAATCCAATAGCAGCCTGAAATCGATCAAAAAACCACTCCAATTTTTGCGAAGGGGAGCTTTCAGGCGGGGGAATGTCGCGGTGGTCTCTTCGGGACTCCGGTTTCTTCGCATCGAGTGAGGCACTTTCGAGTTCAGGCTTCGGCTTAGATTTCGGTTTAGGTTTACTGGTCTTAGGTTTGGATTTAGGTTTACTAGGTCTGGTTTTGAAGGGGGTGGTTGTCACTTTGGCAGGGGGGCGCTTGTGACCCTTGTGCTTCTTCTGCTTAGGCCCACTCTGTTTCCCGCGCACCATGACTGCAAATAGTTGAAACTTGAAAATTATAAAAGCCCAAGGCCTCTCTCTCTATTGTGGGTGGAAGGGATTTGAACGGAAGACCAGTACTCTCTCTCTCCTTTCTCTCTCTCTAAAATAACGCGCGTTCCCAATGTTCTAAAGTTCAAACCAGGGTTTTTTATCCGGATAGTCCAGATGCGTACTGAGCTAGTTTCGGTAGGGTGTTGGTCTCGGTCGGACTACCCCTAAAACCACATTATATTTTTCTTTTTCGTTTTTAAGTTTATCTATCTTTTTAGGTCTTCTAAGTCCTTACACCACAAACCCCTATTTATACCTTTTTTTAGTTTATTTTTTCATATTTTTCTAGATCAATGACTCGGGACCAGACTCAAAGTTGATAGTCAATCTAGTAATCCAATCCAGATTTGTGGGTGAATAATCTGCTTCATCAATCTGGGCTTTGAAACATTGGTCCAAGTGCAATGATTTCTGGTTGTATCGTAAGTATAATGCAATCACATTTATAGAAAACCATATATTTTGACATTTGTACGACTCCAAATTTTACACACCTTTATTCATCCTCATAATCAATCTTAAGGAATAAAATATCAATTTGCACATTAGATATGGTCAAAATTAGTACCCTCCAACAACGAATCTCAACCGTCAATTCGGTAAATTTCAAGATCTAGACCTTGACAAATTCAAAATCACTTTTTTTTTTTGTTTGAACATTGTTAATCTAATGATAACACTATATAACAATTTTGGGAATAAAAAAATCATTTTGAGACCTATATCTAACATTCTCACAAAATGGACGGCTTATATTAATTGGGCTAGAAAAACATTTTTTAGGGCTTTTTTTTTTCTAAATTTTATTTTTTGTGATTATTCTTTAGAATGAAAAAAAAATTGTGTCAAACAAATATCTTTAACATAGTTTTTTAATGTGGTTACATTATATTATGGTACAACCGTTATATGAAATCATTGCTCTTGGTCCAAACTCTCTGCCTTGTGCTAACAAGAAGTTGGACCTAAATTGGGTTGACTCAGGTACTTTTTAGGGTAGGCCAAGCCTGAAGAGCCCAGCCTTGTTAAAAAACAGAAAGAGAAAAAAAATAAAAAGATTATACAAGGATGCAACCTTATAATGTAGAACTATGGACGCACCTCAAAAATCCATCGGAAAAGGTAGTTTTAGTGTTGAAAAAACCTTTGATTGATCATCTCGACATCGAGATGTATGAACATGGAAAATTAAAAGATTTTAAGTCTTAAAAATAGTGCATTTTACAACATATTATCTACACCGTCTATTTTCAAGATTTTCATATGTTTATATGTCTACTTGATTTTAACCATTTTAATATTTTAAATTTTATAATTAGATATAAAAATATATTTTAAGATAATTCTAAGAACATTTTACATCTAAATTATATACCATGAAAAAATTTGATGGTGCACCTTACCTCTATAGCTATAGATACATCCATATGCCAACTACAACAAAAAAATAAAAAAGAAAGTACCAAAACGAAAACACATGAAAGGCGGGCAATGGGCCTGGTAGCATGCCAGGGAGCTTGTTTAAGAGCCGGGCCACGGCCAAGCCATCTCAGCCCAAGGGCGAGTTTGGGCCTAACGGGAGCCACGGTTGGTCCTGCTGCGTTTTGCCTTTTATTTTTACTTTTGCTTTATGTTGAATTCCCTAAGGCCTGGCCAAATTGATCCTCTAGTATCTTGTATCAGCCCAGGCTCGATCCCAGGCCAAGTCTATCATGGCTCAGACCCAAGCCGATTCAACCCTACGTTGGTCACTTGAACCATAATTTGTTAATTTCTTCTACGCCAATATCTGCTAAACGCCCCATTGCGAGCTCCCCCTCTTCCCTCTCTCTCTCATGAGTCGTTCCCCAGGGACAAGGCCGGCCCAGGTCGATCCTCTATTGTTTTGGGCCAGCCCAGGCGCGACCCTTGGCCAAGCCGGCCATGCTTTTGACCTAGACCCGATTGCCCCAACCCAAAAATAAAAATATATATTTAAATATTTATGTTAAATATGTATAAATATATATAAATTGTTTAAATATTATAATTATATTTATTTAAATATCGAATATGAGCTCAGAAGCGGTTCAACCGATAAACCGACCAGTTCAACCGTTCTAACCGGAGAAGTCCCGAGGAGTTAAAAAAGCGTTAAAAAAAATAAAAAATACACAAAATCTAATAAAATATGGAAATTATATTTAAAGAATGATTAAACAAAACACATCCAAATGAAATTAAAAATTAATAAAAAAAATAGATTTTAAAGAGTCGATTTATACTAAGGGTATTTTTGAATTTTTTTTAAAAAAGATGGAAAAATATAAAAACAAATATTAATGGCCAAAAAAATTTCCAATCTTCGTCGTAATGATGAAAACATTAAAAAATACATTACAAACAAAATATCTTATTTTTAAATATTTTATATAAATTTAAAAAAAATATTTAAAATACTTGGCCAGTCACCAAAACAAACCAATGGCCCATTCCGATCTAACGGGGCAGTTCCAGTTAGACCGCCTGTTTTTTTTTCTTCAATGATTGAAATGTTAATTAAATATTATTAAACTATTACATTCACACCCGAACAATGTTCATGTCCAATATTTGAGCCCAAAAGCAACTGGATTGATCCAATTGTCGGACCTGGACCCAGACCTAGGTCTTGTGTGGACGTCCGGTCCCGGTCCATTCCCATCCCTAGAGCCAAAATTGATAAGTTTTATACCACTTGACCCATTACCAGCTCTAATGCTCTGTTGAGCTGTCCCGTAGTGTGTATGCGGGTCCACGTGAATCGCAGTGATGAGAAGAGGAAAGGAGGCTCGAAATGCGTATTCTTACACGCTTCACAATAAAATGGTGATTGAATCGCATCAACCGGAATGAATCACGGGCGCGCCTCTCTCTCTCTCTCTCTCTCTCTTTCTCCTCACGGTACGCCTTTTGGTCATTAAAAACTTCACTAAAATCTCCCAAAATAAATGTACTTTTAACTTTATTTATTTTTACCCTTGTGGGTTAAAGACATGAAGAATAAGCACTTAAAATTTTTTAGAACTTTTTGACTCATGGAGATTCTTTCTCTATATAAACCCAGAACACCAAATTCTCTAAAAGAGAAACAAAAAAAAAAAATGACCTACATAGTCATTCCAATTTTAGTAGATTCCATAATTTTTTATACATAGTTTCTATGAGTCCATGTGCAACTGAATTGTGTCTTAAAAATCTATTTTTTAGATGGTTTTTTTAACTCAATTTTTAAAGATATGTAATTTTTAACGTGGAGATCATGAATAAGAATAAATAAATAAATTTTGAAATTTTAAAATAATAATTATATTAAAAAACATTTAGACCGTTAGTTTCAAATGTTTTTAAATGACCACCTATTTACATCCCTCTTTAAGATGGATGGTTTATATCTTGGTATCGTATACGTTAGAAATGCTGTCAACAAACAAATTTCCTTTTCTATATGGCTTTTTGGCCAATATAGCAATCTCTTTTTTTGCGTGAATCCCAAATGACTATTTTCTTGAGTGTTGAAGTCATAATCATTCTTTTCTTGGGAAGAAGGGGTTTGCGTTGAATCTTAGGGTATATAGAAATACAGTGATTTGCAAATTAAATAAATGATGAATTAGGAATGTGGTTATCAAATTCGTTCAAAGTGTCAATTAGTACAATCTTGTATAAAGTAAAAAATTAGTATAACATCAGTCAAAATCAATGTTTGACCACTTTTTATATAGTCTTCCAACATGTAGATAAAGTTAGGGAGTTTAGTTTTTTAATTATTACACTTTTAAATATCTATTCATGCTTTATTTTATTTCAAATTTCTAAAATCCAGTTCAACAAGTTCGACTAATGATTAAACCATTTTCAATAGACCAAATCCCTTACCCGTTCTATGGTCGTCAAATCCCAACAACAACGGCTACAAATGAGTCCCGGTGCCACTTTGAAAAAGCTCCCAACAACTACCCTTTGATGGATGCAGCCATTTGAATTGTGGGCCCTTGATTTGAACTCAAGACCTAAACTCATGTATATCCCCTCTTGTACGCCAACCTTCAGAGCCTTTCTCCCATTTTCACTCTATTTAAAATGAGTAAAGCTTACATATATACTATATAAACTAAATAGATTTTATGGATATAATATACAAACTGAGTAGATTTTATGGGGACTATATTTTATCAATCTCAATGGCACACATTAATTGAAAGTGGTGGGTGCACTTTCATCCATTTTCTTTGAACGCATAATTTTTTTTTTTTTTTGTGCTCCATGCACCTCTCCACAAAATTCGAGGTTAAATTTATAAATAAAAAAATAAAAAATAAATAATTAATAATTACAATACACACTGGCCATTGGATGTGATAGGATTGAATCATAGCCATCCGGCATGTACCGTTTCATAAGCCGGCTGGCTCACAAACATGTTATATGTGATTTAAACCTCTGATTAGCCATTTTAAAGGCTAAAACACACACGTGCGCACTAAATTTCAATTTTTTATTATATATCTTTGATTAATTTTATGTGGGCACGTTGTTTTTCAAAAAAATTATACTCGAATATTTATTTATATGAATTAATCATATAAGCCGATCAGCCTATAGCAAAGCACCGATGACCAATATCAAAGGAGAATATGAATTATGCGAGGAAAAGCCTAGATTTATATGTTGATAGAAATATAATTTATAGATAAAAAAATTTTGATGGACCCAAAAATTTTCACACATGTATATCTCATCGAGATACTCAACAAAATAAATAAAATCATATCAAAACTTTAAGGTGGTTTCCACCCTTTTTTTCACCTCTTCTGCTTTGATCTTGGCTGTCCTATCTGCACTTTATTGTAGGCCAGCTGGCTCATAGAATCTTCGCTTTTCTTACTGGTTATATATTTCCATTGATTTCTCAAGAAAAAATTAACTATTTTCCCTTTAAGTCATTGATTTAAACATTTTATATCAGTAAAACTGTCGCTCTTACTGTTTGACTTCACCGAATTCTTTACCCCCTCCCAAATCATGAGAAATAGAATAATATGTAAGCAAACTTTATAGGTCTGCTCACACATCATACTTTACCAACAAGACAACACAAGTCTCACTCATCTCAAGCAAAAATAATTTAGGAGAAATTCAACAGAGAAGATCA